CACATATGATTTCTATAGACAATAATGAAATTAATCACAATTAATTATTGAAATACAGTATGTTTCTCCAAGCACTGTTGTTAACTAAAACTATTAAAAATATTTGTAGTTAATTGGAATAGAGCTGAATTAAAATGATAAATATTAGATGGAAAAACTAAATGTAAAAAAAAAAAGAAAATTAGAAATGTTACTAAAAGTACTCAAATTAAACTTAAAAATCTAATTAGAAATGTACAAAATTTTAAAAATGACAAAAGCACATAATAAAAAAACTTTAAATTTTTTAAATAAAAAACACTTTTTTAGTGTAACACTTTAGTTTAGGGACCAATTCTCACTATTAACTAGCACGCATATTACTAGCATATTTGCTGTTTAACGCGTTATTCTGCATGACCATATTTTAGATCCCTTAACCCGACCGCATATTTAAACTTAACAACTACTTACTAACTAATAAGTAGTATTAAATATTAATAAAAATTAAATAATAAATATATAACTAATATATATATATATATATATATATTTTTTTTTTTATATTTGGGTTCTGTTGAAAACCCATGATATATAGGCCATTTTACCTAGCACAGTGAGGTTGATCAGACCTTGTCCACTGCCAGACCAGTCGTTTGGGTTGGTGACCTCACATATATACAGCCCAGTATCAGATGTTTCGGCACTGATGATCCTGACAGAAGCGATGCCTGACACTGGAGGGTTCTGCACGAGAGCCATCCTACCCTCCCAAGAGTTCACCCAGTACAGCCTCCCATTGTAGTATAGCACCTGTGTCAAACAGGACATTGAGGTCGGCAGATGTGGTGGTTTATTGTGACTGAATCTGAATACAGCAGTTCTCACCCTCTTGGCTTGGACGGCAGGAATTCCTGCAGTATTTAGAATGTTACAAAAGATTTATATTTTTAAATAAATGCTGTTCTTTTAAACTTTCATAAAAGGAAAAATCCTGAAAAAAGTATCACAGTTTCTACAAAAATATTAAGCAGCATGACTGTTTTCAACTGTTCCATTGATAATCATTAGAGTGATTTCTGAAGGATCATGTGACACTGAAGACTGGAGTAATGACTGCTGAAAATTCAGCTTTGTCATCACAGGAATAAGTTACATTTTCAGATATATTAAAACAGAAAACAGTTATTTTAAAGTGTAATAATATTTCACAATATTACCCTTTTTACCTTTTGATCAAATAACTGCAGCCTTGGTGAGCAAGACTTTCAAAAACATTTTAAAAAATCTTGTTGAACCCAAACTTTTGAACAGTAGTGTAAAAATATATATAATAAAAAGGAAGGAATTACTCACCAAAGTACTGGAACAAAATGCGTGTTGTGAGGACAATGTGACCATATACCATTATGCTTTTAATATTTTGTTGTCCTTGCACTGAGATAAGGAACAGCTCATAACTGGTCAGCTCTAACTAACAGAAAGCACAACAATGTCCAGAATGTGCTTGCAAAAAGGGGAGGCAGGTGTGGCTAAACACTACTTATTGTTCTTCACTAAAGCAGCTTTTTCTTAAAAATAGTTTGAAAAACCACACTTGCAACAAAAGTTGCACATTCAACAGCCGTCTTCTAAGACAACCAATATTATTCTGAACAAAGATATAAATTTTATATTTACTTCTAAAGCAATTTAGGTTCACATGATATTATCAAGAAAAAAAAACTGTATTTCTGTTATGGCCATAACAGAAATCGGGGGCTCGTCCGGGATCACAACCCAATACCTCAAAAGTAAGTTAAAAAAAGTAAGCTAGAAAGTAAGTTAAAAAAGAAAAATATGGCAGCCAAAATAAAGTGTCTGGTTCTAATATTTAAGATACTGGTTGTTAATAAAGTTTGTTTAATGCAGGGCCAATCAAATGCCACATTGAAGAGTTGTGCTAGTTGTACTCTTTAAAAAAATTTTAACAATGTTTTACAATGCAATTTTGTACTGGTTTAATAAGCAGAACATTATGGTAAGCAATCAAAACAAGTACCACCACTTGAACACTTGAACCTCACTGAGGCATTTTCCACTTTGAGCCTGTTTCCTACTTCTCTGCTTCCATCATGTGGACAGTTACTGTATGCTTTCAATTCCATATAATGCCAATTTGAAAATAACAAAATGAGTGGAAAAGTCCTAATTACAGAGTAAACAATATCTTCAACCTGAATATTTACAATAACATTCAGCATTAACACTAATATCAAAAATGATAAAACATTGCTACCAATATTCAAGTCATTAAACAACAAGGCTAGTTTTTCGTACATCATGAACACATGAATGAACAAATGGACACTTCCATGTAACTTTCATAATCAAATGTTTTACAAATGAAGAGTCCTTCCTGCTCAAGTAAATAAGCATGGCAGATACTGGCATTTCTTTCTTTTACACTCTACATCATAAGACATTTTAAGACAGCATTTTCATGGGCTTTCATTTTATTTTCTTCTTTACAGTCATCCCTCAAACTCCTCTGAATGATCAGAAAATGTTACATTTGAAATAAAACCTGCTCTGTTTCAGAAATCTGTCAACTGCTTGACAGGAAAACTGAAAACTCCTGAGAGAAACGGAGGCACAAGAACAGCTGATGCTAAAGATTATTGTCATTAATTTAACTGAATGTCTAAATAACTGGACAAATCTGAATCCATAAACACAACTGTTACAAAAAGTGGACATCTGCATCCCATCAAAATGTATAACACACTGTAAAACTGACAAAATAAATGAAAAAATACTGTTCTCGGTCAGTGTAACTGTTTGAAAAGATGACGAGAAGAACTTCACAGAGTGTTTAGGCATCAAATTAAGCTCATACAAAAAAATGTAATACTTTAGAAAACAAATCAAAGGTGATTTTTGACATGTAACAATTTTTTACTGTACTTTAATCTGTATTAAAAATTTGTAATTTATCGCCACATTTGTCGAAACCCTTCCCCACGTACGTTTGGCTAGTCGTTAGCACATTATTTGTCTTGAGGGTCGTTATACCAGTGACCCGGCGTGGTTCTGGGTGGGCACCATGATGGGCATGGCCCCCATGCGGGACAGGGTGGCAGTGTTTATAGGCATGTTGAGCGGGCGTGGGGTCTGCGGCTGCGGCCCCTCAGTCCTGTGTGTGGAGCAGCTGTTGGGATTGAGGACTGCGGGAGTGTGATGGCGATGGTGGTGATGGTGGCGGTGTGTGTGATTTAGTGTGCTGCTGCCGTTGTATCCGGGCAGGCCATGCAGTGGGTTGGGCTCCCCTGGGCGGAGGCGGTATGTGGTTGTGCTACCGGAGGTGGTGAGGATGGAGGCGGTGTCCGAGGCACCCCGAGGGAATGGGTAATGGCTGTTTTGGAGTGGATGCTGAGGGTCCTGTGCAGGAGGGCTGGTGGCTATGGAGGACAATGTGCCGTTCTTTGATATGATGTCCGATCCTGTGCCGCTTTTAGCCCAGGAGACGCGTTTCGGGGCCTGTGCATCTTCCCTTAAAGCAATAGAAAGCAGATACTGTAATACAATCCTATTTTAATCCTATTAAAATATGAGAAATATAAGACACATGCTCACTTGATCTCATTGGCCATCTCCTCCTCTGCATCACGGTTTCTCCTCAGAATAAAGATCAGGAATAAGACCAGAGCCATCAAACCCACCACAGAGCCCACCGTGGCCCCGGCGATCACCCAGGCATTGTTAGCTGCAGCCACAACAGGATCAATTCAGTTACAAATATAGTGAGTGCCGAAATCTACAACATAAAATGTTTCATCAATCTTTGAATGATACTTACGGGTGGAGACCTCTAGATTGATGTGGCAGCTATCAGTCCCAGCCATGTTGCTGGCGCGGCAAACATACTTGCCAGACATGCTTTTGGTGAGGTTGCTAAGTCGAAGGGTGCCTTGCCTCTCATCTTAAAATAGAATCAAACATTCATAACGTCATAATTGAGTTGAGTTCAACAATAGAGTTGAAAAGACACATTCAACTGTTGTGACCTATTGTAGCATGTGGCTGCTTATTCTACTTTTATGGGTGTTTGTTCAATTACAGGCACTTTAGGTCCTGAGGACTTTTAAAAATTAAACTTCTCCCACCTTAAAATACACCTTTCCCACTCTCACCAGTTTAATTTGTTCACTGACATTGTTAAACAGTATACACTGCCGTTCAAAAGTATGGGGTCAGTAAGTTTTTGAAGAAGTCTTTTATATTCACTAAGGCTGCATTTGTACAGTAAAAACAGTAACGTTGTAAAATATTATTACAATTTAAAATAACTGTGACGAGTGGGGGCGGGCGGTGGAGTAATTGATAATGAGCGACACCTGCACCACTCACCGG